TTTGGAGGAGGGCATAAAAAATTTTGCTATGGGGCCCTGTGATTTCTAGTTACGCCCCTGATCTAAATGGACGGGCCCAGGTCCGGAAAGACAAATGTATCAGAGTTACATTTTGCCAGACCTTATCGAGCCAGATTGGGGGATAATCTGATGTAAGTGGATATAAGTCTGTTTACATCCAATTCCCCATAGACCAATATGGGTCAGGTAATTCCATTTTTTCCCTCCACTGGACAGACACGAATGTCACAACGGTGACATCTCTTCCCATCAGCAGGGGACCTATGCACTGAACCCTTCCTAATTGGACCGTGTGAAAGGGGCCTTAGTACAATCCTGCTAAAGGGGGTATTTATATGACCCCCAAAACATGTTGGCTATTTCTACACTGTCCTCTACACTGAATAAACATATATCAGGATTACAGAGTGTGGTGCTTCAATACACAAGCCTACAATTTAATATGCTTGTGGCTGCTCTTTTACAGTACAGAAATGGTGCACCTAATAGTAAACCATACTATAAGTCAGGAGCTTTACTTATTGTTATCTAACCACCTATGGCCAGCTTTACTTCAATGCCACAATATCACTACTCAGGCAAGTATAATCTTACACCAAACAGAACAGCATTGCTCTCAACAGCCCAAGTCATCTGTATCTAATAGGTATGCAGTGTAAAGCAGGTCGTCCTGCTCTTCAGGTTTGTGTGGCTGTCGGTGCACCCAGGAATTCTCATACTCTGACCTTTAGACTAAATCTGCGTCTCTGGGGAATCAGATGTAAATGGACATGTGGAGAGCAGTCTTCTCCTCTCACCTGTCACATTTAATATTAAAATAAAACAATAAAGAGGTGATTAAAAAGTAAAAAAATGTCATGGTCCACTTGCTATGATAACCAGTTGATTGGCAGGCTCCTTCCCTACAGGGACCCAGCTCCACCGCATAGAAGGAGGACAGGAGCCTGCAGGGGGGGGGGGGGGCGCAAAATGTTGTTCTGCCCCGGGCGCCCGTTACTCTGGTTATGTCACTGGTTCTATCCCGCTCCTAATGACCATATTGATCTAGAAGTTTTTGAACGTACTTATTGAAGATGCCCATAGAATGTACTTCCTGAATGCAGTGACACAATTTCACTCAACTCTCACAGAGCCTGCCTTCTGAACTACAACTCAACGTCTGAACAATGTAACATTATCATTGCAATGCAAGATGGGATATGTAGTCCTGAGAAATGCATCCCATCAAGCAGAAGTGTAAGAGACGCAAAGCACACTGGGAATCCAGCTGGTGAAAGTGATGGGCAGACGGAAGGCAGCACTCACTACATAAAAGAGATTTTTTTGGGGGTTGATTGCATTACCAAAAACAACTCCAATGTATATTCCTATCACAATGATGATGTTATAACAAGATAGTACATGCTGAAACTTTACACCTCTGTTATTTCATACAGGCATGATAGATGATTTTACAAACATATTTCAATTATTTCATTTGTTCCTTGCAGGATGTTGTACTTTTGACAAATGTTGTAAGTGAAAATGTTTCTGCTTATGGGGCAATAGAATGCCAGTAACTCGCGTCAAGTGAAATATGAGCTCAACAAATGTGTAGGAAAACATTTTATGATAAGGTAGACCAGAGTAAGATAAGAAATAATGAAATGCAGCAGTAAATCAGGATACCATAAAATGCAAGCAATCAAGAAGTCAATGTGTTAAAAACAAAGATAAAATATTCTTCTTAGGTAACGATTTTAACCCCTTAGTGACCAGTGACGTCCATAGTACGTCACTGGCACCAGACTCCCAGTGGCTTTAGCTCTGTTTACAATAGAAGCCATTCTGGCGACTCAGCTGTTGCCAGATCGCTTCTCCGGCCCCCCCAACACCCCTGCCGTGTTTCCGCTGCCCTTCCTATGGGCCCGGGAGGGTGTCGGTGGGAAGCTGGGGAGGAGATCGGTGAATGGACGGGAGTGACGCGTATTGCATCACTTCCGGTCCATGAGCTGTCATAAGCTATTCAGCGATCTGCACTTCAATAGCTTATTTCAAGTGTAAAGGTGATAGTAGGAGTTTTTTAGACCCCCAGTATCACCTTAAAGAGTACCTGTCACCACCAATCTGCTATCACATGGGGGGCTTGTAAGCCCCCCTATGTGATAGCAATTAGAATTAAAAAAATAATAATAAAAATAACAGTTTTAAAATAGTATCAAATTAAACAAATGTAAAAATAATTGTTAAAAAAAATGTAAAGTCCCCCGCCCCCCGCGAGCATGCGTGTCATACCGGAAACATGCGTCAGGTGTGCCTACAAATTGCAATTGTGATATACATGTTGCAAACGCTGTGCGGCGCATTTGTGATGCAATTTTGATGTGTGCCAGTGCTGTTTTTTGTTTTGTGGGCTGTCATTATGCAGATTATTCTCTGAGGTTACTTCCTGCTTCATTTCGTAGCACTTCCCTTTGTTTGTGTGAGTGAGCTGGTGAACAGACATGTTTCATTTGTATGCAGGCATGTTCTTTGTGATGGCTATTGCAATCCTGAGACATCGTTTTGGGGTGCACCCACCCTTCAAGTTAAGGGAATCAAGAGGGTCAATTATGGACTTTATTTGAGGACTTGCACGCACATCCAGAAACGTTTTTTGCATTCACTCATATGTCTATTCGAAGGTAATATCTGTTATTTATCCAAAGCCCCCCTTTTTTGTATTCATTCTGTTGCTGTCCGGTGCATTTGTAAAGCGTTTTCCGCGCGTTCTGGTGCGCTCCAGTGCAGAGAAAATGTGGCATGCAGTATTTTTTTCCCCCTGCACGGGAACGGACCAGTTTGAACAGAGCCCGGAAATCCCATACAAATACATTGGGATGCATTTTTGGTGCGGGAGAAAAAGGTAACGGTCTGGATCTGATTCGGACACGGTGTGAATGAGAATGGGCGTGGCAGTGCATTGAACACAATGGCACAGAAGCCATGCCCCCCGCCCGCGGTGCGATCGCTGGAGCCCAAACGCGTGGCACATTAGTGCCTCCGTTCCGGTCCAGTGCGATCTGCAAAAAATAGTGCATGCAGCATTTTTTGCAGATCGCACTGGACCGGAACGCAAGCACTAATGTGTTCAGGTCCTGGCGATCGCACCGTGGGTGGGGGCGTGGCTTTAGTGCCATTGAGTTCAATGCACCGCCACGCCCCAAAACAAAGTGAGCCGGCGGTTTGCGCTCCGGAGGCCGAACGCACTGGAACTTGATGGTGTGACTGGGCCCTTAGTCCTGCACAATCGCTGCTCTTTGTTTCCCACTTTTGTGTCCTCATTGCTTTCACTGGGTGCTAAACGTGTGACAAACGCGGGAAGGTCACACATGTAGCATAATCTGCCGCACACGCCTTGCATTTTTTTCCACGTGTTTTAGGGCCCATTCACACCAATTGCCGTGAGTTCCAGAGTGGCAGCTGCTGGAACGCACAGCAATCGCTCACTAAACTCCCCCCTTCGTTCTGGAGCGTGGCATTACATTGAAATCAATGGCACTGCAGCCATGAACCCCTGCCCGCAGTGCGATCAGACGCGTGTCAAAACATTGCCTGCGTTCCGGTCCACTGCGAACGCAAACAATAGAGCATGCAGCATTTTTTGCGTTCGCAGTGGAACGGAATGCAGGCAACATTTTGCCACGCGTCCAATCGCACTGCGGGCAGGGGGGCTTGGCTGCGGTGCCATTGACTGCAATGCACTGCCATGCCCTCTCCCGCCCCAGAACGAAGGGGGAAGTCTACTGAGCGATGCGATTGCTGTACGTTCCAGCAGCTACCGCTCTGGAACGTGCTGAAATTGGTGTGAATGGGCCCTAAAACACATGGAAAAAAATGCAAGGCGAGTGTAGCAGATTATGCTACATGTGTGGCATTCCAGAGTGGTACGCACCGCAATAACTCACAAAACTTTCCCTCGCGTTCTTCTGGGTGTTGGCGGTGCATTGAATTCAACGGTACCGCTTCCACACCCCCAACCCCACGTCCCCCCCAGTGCCTGTGTTCCGTTCTATTGCAAACGCAATAAATGCATAAATGCTGCTTGCTCTATTTTTTGCGATTGCAGTGGAACAGAACGCAGTCAAAGTTTTGCCACACATCCGATCACACTGAAGGGGGGGGTATGGGGGATGGAAGCGGTGCCATTGAATTCAATGCACCGCCACACCCCCTTCTGCCCCAGGACGCAGGGGGGAGTTTTGTGAAGGATTGCGCTGCGTTCCAGCAGCTACCCCTCTGGATTGCACCGCATTTGGTGTGAACAAGCCCTTAGCACCCTCTGGAACGCACCGCAACTGGTGTGAATGGGCTTGTTCACACTAAATACGGCGTGTTCCAGAGCGGTTAGCCTGTGTTTTGGGGCAGGAAAACTGCAGCGGAGCGTGTGGATAAACAATGCCTGCGTTCAGGTCCAGTGCGATTGCAAACAAATGCTGCACCGTATGGATACAAGCTCTTAACGCACGTTCACGCTCAAGAAAAAAGTGTGTTTGCTCTGCTGCGGTTGCAAAGGGGTTGCACATTTTTTTTACACGCAGAGCGTGAGCAGTCACGGGACCCTTAGGGGTGAACAGGGACTAAAGGAGTCAGTGAGGCCATGAGGGGCTGAAAACTCTCCTTCCCCATCTCCCAGCAGGCAGCAGTGTCAAGGAAGGGGAGGGGGGATTAGAGAGTTTGCATCATGTGACTTAGTTGTATAACACAAGCAGCACATTACACAAGATGCTCCATGTGAGCTGTGAGTGAGCATGCTGCCAGTACATGGGAGGAGTACAGTCATGGAGCGGAGTCTCCTCCACAGGGGCACTCCTAGCTTGTCACCATGGAGATGGACTAGGCGGGAGGAGACAGCTCCAATCAGTCCGCGCCCATCACTGAGCCTTGTATAACAGTGTTTACTCCCATCACTGTCACTGCCCGCACACATCACTGTATGCTTCGGGACATCCACGGCCGGTCCGTTTTCCATGGAGCTGTTGCAGCCCGGACTTGTGATCTCCGGAGCCTCGTTTGCCTGTTTTCACCTGTTGAATGGCAGACTGGGCACACTGGTCCCCGCTCCCAGCACTGCTCTCCGGAACCCCTGGAAATGGAAGAACATCTGGACCTCGTTCATACACAGCCTGCTCACCGGAACATGGGCGCTGCTAGGGTGAGGACTGTGCCGGGGGAGTGATGGCGGAGCGGGATGAGGTTGTACGGGGTAACACATAGCAGTCTATAGGACCATACTAAACTCACAGATTGACTTTTAATCTCATAAAGTGTCAAAAAAAAACTTTTTTTCTTTTCTTTCTAATATCGGATAGAGGCGGGAAGGATGGGATCTCCTCTTTCTACTTCAATCCGGGGCTTCCTTTAAAGAAGTGCAGGGAGAGTAAAATATATTCGGGGCAAGTGATCAAAACTGGAGCAGACAGGATGTGGAGCAGTTGCGCATGGCAACCTATCAGCTTATCTTTTGTTTTTAAAGCTTATCTGAACAAACAGAAGATTGGTTGCCATGGGCAACTGCTCCAGTTTTGATGCATTCTTCTTGCTGTTCCCAATACTAAAGTCTCACATGCCAGTTCTGGGATTCCTGTGGAAAGAACCCCCAGGTGTCCATGTTCAGATGTGTCTGCTGCACCCATTGAAGTTCATGACGGTGACAGCGGCCGCATCTGTCAGCAGCAGTCTGCATGTACCTGGTATGATTTCGGATGGATGATTGTCACTGGATGCAGGATAGATGTGTCCAGGGACAATCCATCTATCCCAAACCCCAATCACACCATGTGCATTAAACTGCATTCAATATCACAAAGACACTGAGAATACAATTGTTTTCTATGCAATTTATGCAAATGGGTTGCATAATAATGCAGCACGAACCTGGCACAGGGTGTACTGTTCCCATTAGATCCCGGGTGAGCTGTGTTGCCATCCAGGTTTCTTTAGTAGCAATATCTGGGGTTTATGACTTGGCATACTTCAGTGTTTTCCTTATCTGTGTCGGTATTTCTATTGTGCTGTGTGGGGAAAAAAATGTTTTCTGTATTTGTGTTTAGATTTTACCTGCATCCTGAGATGGCAGAAGATTTGATCTCCACACATACCCGATTCTCACATAGTCTCGTCGCTGTATCTATAGGTGAGTCTTCTCTTATCTGACATTGGGGATTACTTGGCATGCTTTCATTCTCTCTGTACAGCCTCGGAAAATTAGCCAGTTCGTTTTTTTTAAAACCGATTACTAAACTAGGACATGTGTCCCAGACTATGATGAAAAAATCCGGGGTATAGTGATACTGGTAGCAGCGAGAGCAGCTTTGATTTGTATCTGGTACACAGAGATCACATAACTAGCCAGTTTATCGTGCAATACAAGTTGCAGCATATTCTCCTAACTTCTCTCTGTATTCAGTTTACTTACCGTGCCTTTTAATGGCTAAAAAAGCCCAAACTATTTAATATGAGGACCTATCCAATCAATGTGTATCAAATCAGGCAGACCCCTGCACTACATAGTTGTTTGTGATTCTTAGGGCTAGTTCACACCAGAACTGCATCAGAACCCCATTTGTCTGCACACCTGCGGTGTGATGCGGTTTGCCTCGATTTTACTGCAATTGATGCGTTATTTTGTGCTTAAAATGGGATTTCAGGTGCGTTCCGTTTGCATGCTTTTTTTTTAATGTATTCTGTTGCGATCCGATGCAGCTAAAATAGTGCAAGCAGTACCTTTTTCTGGCTGCACCGGAACGGACTAGTCTGGTGTGAACAGAACACCAGAATCCCATAGGAGAGCATTTTGCTGCGTTTTTGATGCAGCTCAAAAACAGAACGGATTGCATCTGGTGTGAATGGGCCCTGAAGGAGATAGTAGCGTCAGATTGTGATGTATTTGAAGAGCTCTAGGCAGTCCTCAGATCTTGGTAAGTTTTCGTTACTCCAACCTTGAGGTTTCCTGAGAGTTTCTATCCACCTGGGATTTTTATGAATTCTGGCATCTGCTGTTACATTCATTGCCGTGTTATAGTAAAGTCAAAGCGCTGTGCACGGATCCTGGTGATTGAGTATTTATATGTATAAAATTTACTAGGGGTGCTGCCCCACTTCAGCTGGGGGGAACTGTAAAACTGGAATACAAGAAGGACAGAAAGGCGCCCAACCTAGTGCAGATTATTTTTTATTTTAAAAGACACAAAGGTAAAAATGCAATGGTACTCACAATGGTAGGTCATAAAACAGCTCGTATGGATGATTTAAAAGAGACAGCAGTTTCAGGACTGCAATCTGCCTGTGTGCCACTGTAGTGTGGCGCTGTTGACGCCACACTACAGTGGAAGGGGGCGTGACCCCGGAAACGCATTTTTACCTTTGTGTCTTTTAAAATAAAAAATAATCTGCACTAGGTTGGGCGCCTTTCTGTCCTTCTTGTATTCATTGCCGTGTTGCTCCAACTCATCCAGGGTCGATTCCTCAGCAGTTTGGATGACCAGGACCAGACTTAGCAAAAATTTGATGCCTTATCGGAATACCATTAAAGTCAATGGTGATGGAATTCGGGTGGTCAATCAGTGGCTTTGCTGTGAATGAGGTGGCCAATCAGAGACTGTGTTTACTTCTGAAGGCCCACCTCTAGGGTTAGAGACATATAAAGGGAGCACATTATGGCCACCACCAAAAAGGTGGCTGGTGGAGAGGACTGCTTTCTGATCCCAGTAGTCCCCATAGCCGTGACATTACACATCGCTCAGGGGTCCCCAGACCCCTCTAGTGATGTGTATTAATAGTGTTAAAAAAAAAAAGTTGAACCCTTTAATGCTGGGAGAAGTGTGCCCCCCAAACTCCTCTAATTTGCTTTGTGAATGGCAAAGTCCAAGTAGGCGGCTGATACATGACACTGGCACTAATGTGTGACATGGTAGCCTATCTGATGCAGCTGTAGTAGGAAATACAGCTAATCAGAGCATTTATAAATGCTTTTTATAATGCACACTTTTTTATTTAAAGAAGTATAGCAGTTAAAAACGTAACCCTTGCTGTGGAGCTACCCCTGGTTAAGTGCTTGTTTTGGTCTAGTGTCTAAGAAAAAAAAAAAGAAGAAATACTCATCTGATCCTTGGCCCTGCTGTGGTGACCACTCACCTCCATCCCCCTCTGCTCCGGCTGTGGAGTGTCACTCGGCATCCTCACATCTAATAGACGTGATGGCATCACAGGTCATTAGATTGCTGGAGCCCCAGGGAGAAGAGGCTGGGGGGACCTTTCTGGCAGGACTGAGGATCGGGTGAGTATATATTTTTTATTTTAGACCCATTTAGTGTGGGGGTAGCCCCACTGCAAAGGTTCATTGTATAACTGCCCAGAGTTCTTAATTAACAGGCAGAGGTACACACACATTAATCTATCTGAGGTTATAAAAATGAAGATGCCTGAAGTTGGGTGTAAACACTCCTGGACGTGTTATATTTGTACAGTGCCCCGTCACTATCACTTTTGCCTGACAGATTGGTCTACAAGTAAATGCGGAGGGAAAAAAAATGACTAAACGCTTGAAGACCAGGTGTTTAGACCCCCTTCCTGGCCAGGCCATTTTTCAGTATTCAGCGCTGCGATACTTTGACTGACGTTTATTCCGTCATGCAACGCTGTACTGAAATTAATTTTATACCATTTTTTTTGGGACAGATAGAGCTTTCTTTTGGTGATATTTATTCACCACTGCCGTTTTTATTTTTGACTATAATTAGGAAAAATTACTGATTTTTTTTTACATTATGTTAGGAAACATTTATTATTACCCATTTTTTTTGGTAAAATGTAAAAGACGGGGTCACGTCGGGTAAATAGACACCAAACATGTCAAGCTTTAAAATTGCGCGCACCCGCGAAATTGCAGAAAACGACCATACCCAAAATTGGCCACAGGCGACGCTTTAAAAGCTTTTACCGCTCATCAGTTTAGTGTTATCAGTGATTGATGGCCCTAGAATGATTGCTCTCACGACGATGCGTAATGGGCGCAATCGTCGTTTTTGCACGTATGCGCCCCCGATGCATGTATGGGTTGGGACTTTAAAACATTTTTTTTGTTTTTTTATTCTTTTTTTTTTTTATGTGTAACTTTACATTTTTTTTGGGGGGGGGGGAAAATTAATTTTTTCGTGTACCGATCTCCCTCTGATCCCCTGTCACACAGGCACCATGCTGATCCCGGGCTCGCACCGGTCACAGCGGAAGGGGGGGATCGTTACCTCATACAAGCGAGCACCGTTGCCTGTTTTTAAATATCGAGCATTACCCGCTCGCGAGCCCAGCGGCGTGTCTGAGCGGTCGTCTAAAGACGCCCGCTTAGATCTAGAGAGGTGCCGGCCGTTTTTTTACAACGGCCGGGAGGTAGTTAAACTAAATTGAATTTACTGGATGCTAACTCTTTGTATCAACTGCATACACTTTGCAGAACACTATTTTTTATTCAATAGCAGTCCTTTGATTTCATCATAGACAGCCTGTACTTCCTCGTGACATCCCCTTCATGAGATTCCCGTTTCGTCAAAGGGTCCTTTGTTAAAGTTAAGACTATTCTTATTTGTAAATATAAAATGTCTTCGTGTTCCAAATTGCTGATACTCAGATCCTGGGACCCCTCGGTACAAAATAGTTTTCTCTGCAAGTAAAGGATACAATAATTGCCTTAGATGCTTGTTTGAGCCACTGGTGACCCTAAAACTTTGACTATAGTGGAAACTGTACTGATGATTTCTGGGGGAAGTGTGCTTGTGTTATAAAACGGCAGCAATAAAAAAACCTTATCACGCTATATATCATGTGAATTCAGAGCTGCTTTTATTGAAATGAGGCCCAGGGCAGAAATATAAATGGGATGCCTTCTATATCAGTCCTTTTTTTCTTTCAAAGGCATAGAACAGTTTCAGAAGTTATGTCTGTGTTGCATAACTAAACCCAAATCCAAGACGTAATTGAGCCATTTTACAAGAGCCACAATTGGTGTCATTACTAGAGTGGCAGGTGTAGCATGCATAGCCAGAACGATGCTATATTTAACAGAACAGTACTATGTTACTGAAATTAGAGGCGAGTCATGTGGATTCCCATGATGCTAAAATAATTTTTTCTAAAAAAAAAAAAATTACAATGTTTTTTTGTCTTTTAATTAAAACCATTAACTAATTCTGGTGTTTCCATGCAGCACTTCATCCATTGCATGTCTATGCCTAGGGTGGACAAATTTAATATAGAATTCAGTAGCCAGTCTGTCCAATCTAGGATCCAGTGTCATTGACTTCAACTAGAGAAGACCTGAAGATGTTAGGCACTAGCTGTCATTGTTAAAGAGCTCCTGGGATTTGTCCAGCCCTGACGTATGCCCACCCAGTACCTAACTTCCTCATGCTGTAGGCTGTCAACCTCAAAGCAGACAACAACAAATCAGAAGCCAGGGTGGGCCCACTAGTCTGAGTGCTCAATGGGGCCCCAGAGCAAATGCCCTCTTTTTTCCACTACCGCTGTTATATTGAAAGTTCCAATTTGTTGACCTCTCCAACTGGTGACGTCACATCCAGTGACTGCCAATAGGAGATCTACAGCAGATGGTGCTAGTGCACATGCCCAGAAAATCCTTGTCAAACTGTCTAACTATTGCCACAGCGCCTGCGTGGCTATCCACTTCTATAACCTACTACAGTTATATTTGTCCTAGGTTATAGAAGCCGATAGCCGCGCAGGCACAGTGGCTATTGCCTCATCGGATTCTATAACCTAGTCAAAGGTTATATTATGTTACAGCGCCTGCGCGGCCACATGATTCTTTCTACAATCACAGTGGCCACTGCGCCTGTGCAGCTATCGGCTTCTATAACCTAGGACAAATATAAGTTTGTCCTAGGTTATAGAATCTGATGAGCCGCGCAGGCACAGTGGCAACAGACAGTTCGACAAGGATTTTCTGCCCATGTGTACTAGCTCCATTTGCTGTACTTCTACTGGCAGTCACCGTGTGTGACCTGCTCAGTCGGAGAGCTCGACAAGTCGGAGCTTTCGATAGAACACCCCAACTTTGGCTCTGTTTTAGTACAAATTCCGTGCACAAGCCAACTGTGTCACGGTTTAGTTTGATTGCTTTGCTTTGCTTGTAACCCGTACACATTTTTGTTCCAGGCTATTTTATCCATGATTTTTTGGATATGCTGCAGAACCAAAAGTTGCACCAATCCTGGGAGCTGCTGTTCCATCACACTGTTGTAAGTAACTTCTAGTATTATTCTCTATAAAGCCCTTTTACACTTGTACATCGGCATCACACCTGCTCCTGCTATGCAAGGCAATGCAACTGCTGTCTGTGTGATGGGGAGACATTTATTGTGTATGGCACCCCAAGCCATTGTAGACTGAGATGAACAAATAGCAAGTACGAAAATAAAGAAAAAATATTCACCCGATTATCGGACCTGCGGCAGTGACCGCTTCGCCTGTCTCACCCTCCTCTCCGGCTGTGCTATGTCCCTCTGCGTCTTCACGTCTAATAAACCTGTATAACACATGATGACATCATAGGTCCTTAGACTGCCGGAGCCCTGGAGAAAAGAGGCTGCTGAGACCGATCTAGCAGCCAAACAGGACCAAGGATCAGGTGAATATTCTTTCTTTTCGCCCCTAGACAAGAGACAGCAGTCATTTACTAAAAAATGCATTACTTCAAGAAAAATGACAGGTTTATCCTGTCTTTTACGCAGCCAGGGGAACCCCACAGGGAGTGTCCGCAGTGTCTTCATTCCAGTTATTTTGTTTCTTTGTAGTCCAGTCACATGTATAGATGCTGTAAGTGTGACACTCCCTCAGCTATTTTCGAAACAATCTGTAACCGTTTGACAAATGACAGGCATGTAAATGACTGCCTGATAGTTCTCTGCTTTCTAGTTTTCCCAGGCTCACTTTCAGACTTCAGAGCTGAAGAGAAGTTGTTAAAAACCAGAACTGCTACATGACATATTTAGTATATTTCTATTTATATCCCAATGATCTCTTACATCTCCAAGTATTACATATGTTGGCCTTCACAAGCCTGTCCTAGGGGCATACCAGGGTTTTGCTGGGCGCCATACCAATATTCTCTTTCACACACACCTTTCTAAGGCATGTCGAGACGTCACAGAATTATTTGCTTGAATATTGGCAGCCGTTCTACTTCCTAGAAAGGTAAAAGGGATACATCGAAATTAGGCAAACAGTACGCTGGCATTAGCTATTGTTTTTATTATAATTGCGTACAAAATACTGATTTATAAATCTCCCGACCTGGAGACATTTGCTGGCTGAATGCTGCCACTAGATGGATCAGAGGAGCATAGGAATGAGAAATGTTTTAATATGTTTGATAGCAGCAGGTGGCACCCAAATAGCCACAGAACCACCAAGATCTTCCCCTTATTAGCTAAGATGCAGTAAGAGGTCTGTTTAAAAAAAGTCACCCAATATCCGGTTTTATGATGGAGTTGAGAATTTACTGTGTGTAATAAATATTTACAATGCTAGGAAGTACTCTACATGGCCCCCTCCCACCAACTTCTACATAACCTAATCATTTCCTGATTTACCTGAACCTAAACAATGGAACCTAGCACTTCAACCATGAGTCACCTTTGAGGGACAGAAAACCATGAGTGATGTATTAGGCAGGAAGCATACCTGTTAAAGTAATAAGCAAATATGGCTGCTCCCATGCCTATATGTACTTAAAAGATAACTATGGGGAGAGTGAAACACGCTCATCCCCATAATTGGAGCTGACACTGTCACATGTCCTCTCTATAGCTCAATCACATACCACTGATCGCTCAGTTCCCGATACCCCCCCCAGGGTCCTCCAGCGCTGTAAAGTGAATGCCCTCCTGTGACTCTAAGGAGAACTATGGCCAAAACAGGTTGAGCCATAGTTCTTTTAAAAAGTGAATGTGCGATAAGCGTTTTACAAAATTTAGCTGATTGGTAGAGTGGACTTTAGAGGTTTTTGTTTCTCTGTGTGCAAAGTACTCCTGATCCTCTGTTTCTGTAGTAACTGCAGAACCAAAGGGATGCAGGGGTGGCAGCTTGAAGTAAGCAAAGGAGCGATGTCATTGACTGTCATGGCTATGACATAGCTATGGCTATGTGGCCATATTGGGTAAATGATGAAAGGACAAGCAGCCCGCACCTTTGATTACATGCAGCTGCAGGGCGCGGAATGCCCAGCCCACAGCTGGTTGCATGAAAGTACCTATGGCACTTCCTTGCTTGGAGGAGCTCTGCTTTTGATATGGGTACGGTCCAGACCTAAGAGATGCCACAGTCATGTAAATCCTGATTCATTCAGGTTGTGTTACAAATAGAGATGCACAGATACCGATACCAGTATCAGTATTGGTGCTGATACCGAGGATTTAGGCGAGTACTCATGCTTGCCAAAATGCTCCGATACTTACCCCTGATACCAGAAGTTCCAGTCAGAGGGAGATTTCCTCTGTCCAGCAGTGTTGCGAGGGAACATTGAGCCAGCTGCCCAGCCAATCAGGAAGCCGGGCAGCAGCTTCCTGATTGGCCGGGAAGTCGGCTCCATGCTATTTGGCCGGCTCAATGCTGATTGCCCGGGAAGCCTGGCCAATCAGTATTGAGCAGGCCAAACAGCATGAAGCTGGCTTCCTGGCCAATCGGGAAGCTGGGCGAAGGGTAATGACCTGCCTCCTAATTTGGCCAGGAAGTAGGCTTCCTGGCCAATCAGCATTGAGCCGGCCAAACAGCATGGAGCTGGTTTCCCAGCCAATCAGGTAGCCGGGAGGCGGGTAATGACCCGCCGTTCGGCTTCCTGATTAGCCGGGAAGCCGGCTCCATGCTCCCAGAAGTACCAGTATCGGCAAGTCCTGAAAGATAATATTGGTACTCCTACTGCATACCGAAAAAACGGTAATGGAGCATCACTGGTTACAAATGTCTTGCATAGAACAGCCTTCAGGTTCAGCCTCTCACCTTACTACAAAGTTACATTGTTGCAATCTAAACACTATCCATCTATGCAAAATCATTTGACTGGTGCATAAGGACTGCTCTTAGGGCCCATTCAAGCCTCATCGTGCATGCACTGCATCCACTATTTTTTGCGACCGGAACGCAGGGCATTGCTGTACCACGCATTCCGGTGTGGGTGATTGCGCTGCGGGCGGGAGGCGTGTCTGCAGTGCAATTGACATGAATGCTTGCTTTGCGGTGTCTGTGAAGACACACAGCTTATTAGCACACACAAGGGCGACTGCATAGCACTCTGCTTGAGAAAGGAGTCACTCTTAAAACAGGAAGCCAGGACCAGTGCTCAGGGGACCAGCTGATTCTGCAGGAAACTTTTAAACATTAAGGGGTCTTTTCACAAAAGGGTGAAGAGTTTGGAGAAAGCAGGAGAAGTGAACAATCTAGGCCCAATAGCTAATTTGGAAAAATTCTGCAATTCAGCTCACTTTCAAGTTCAGTTATGTGGTCCTAGATTGTTCACTTCTCCTGCCTTCTCCAAACTCTTCACCCTTTAGTGAATAGACCCCTATTTCATCAGCATTTGACATAGCCTAAAATCCTTTTGACTTTAATATCAATGTAAATGAGAAGGTAGAACTTTTTTCATTATACTCTTGCTGTATTTTAATTACCCTATTTTGCGGCCTATAGGACACTCCGCACGATAGGACGACGCAGGGATTCTCTGACAGAAAATCTGTGACAGAAATCCTGTCACAGAAGCTGCAGTTAGTGACAGGTGAGACAGGTGGCGCTGTGATTACAGCGCCACGGTCTCCGTAATCACACAGAGCAGACGAAGAACGACGTTCTTAGTCTGCTCAAGGGGCTCTATGGTGAGCTCCTTTGGGGGACCGTGACAGGTCATGGTCCCCCAGAGGAGCAGAGAACCACGGCGGGGGGCGGACACGATCGCCGCCGCTCAATTTAATACAAGAGATCTAATTCGATCACTTGTATTAAACGAACAGCGGCTCCCACTGTACATTCAGCTCAGCTTGTCAGGAGCAGGGCTGAATGTACAAAAAGAAACTACTCACCCGGCGCCCGAAACTGCATGTCCCGTGCGTCGGGCGATAGGTATTCGCTCCATAAGACGCAGGCACATTTTACCCCTCCTTTTGGAAAAAAAGTGCGTCCTTTATGGAGCGAAAAATACGGTACATAGTTGTTGAGTTAAGACACCAGTCCATCATGTTCAACCCAGGTGAAAGTGTGTGTATGAGTTACTAAGAGTACCTGTACCCCTGTATATTTTGCCCTTTGAGGAAAGCATCTAAAAGGTCCTAAAATGAGCCGATACTCCTAGTTGAAACCACTGCCTGGGGAAGCCATTTTGGGTGGGTGGTGATTAAATTACCAGTCCTGGTTGTAGGAGAAAATTTTAGCACCCAGGGAAATGCTATGAATGTAAATTGGGTGCAGTCTTGGGTGTGATTTTTAAACGGGGATCTTAGCTTTTTACCTTATAGGAAACGTGTACGAAGAAATATATGTAGGGTGCCTAGGCTGACCTCCTCATTCTGGTAGTTGCCCAGTTGTCATGTTGGTCCAGTAGCTTCAACATTCAGAATCTGACTTCCCTTGTTCATCACTGATTCAGAAATTTTAAAGACAAAGATGGTCAGGCAAACCTTTTCAGCTGTAAATAAGTAATGGCATCCTGAATATTTGCGTTTGCTCAGGCTTTGTTCAATCAGCACATAAAACATGACTGTCCTTTTGGGTCATAACATTATTATCTTGTTTTTCCATGGATGATACTGCAGTTGTGTACTAGTTTTGTGTGCCTGCAGTAAATAAACTGAAGCATTGTAGACGCATGATTTAAATGAGAGATAAGATAAGCTCCTTAATGGACATAAATGAACTCTAATCTCATTGCAATCACTTGCTTTGTATTTTTCAGTCTTTTCACCTGGCAGCATAGTGCTTTGTGCATTAAATGAAGAGCAAACTTGCACCCCTTATTTATGAGCAGTCTTATTTTTATCTGTGCATATATGTAGATAGACCACAACCAGTAATCTAAATAAAATACCTGCATGTAGGGATGTCCTGATGCCACTTTAAGACCAAGTACAAGTACTGTCCCTCATGTACTTGCCGATGCCAATTACCGATACTTTTTCTTAAAGGGACAGGTGACATTTTTTTCTAAAACAACACAGACTTTAGGGCAGTTTCTCACCAAGGCTAAATACGG